CCACAACCAATAAAACTAATGTCATGTACAAAATACCATGCAAGGCTTGTGAGAAACATTACGTAGGCCAAACTGCAAGAAAACTGACAATAAGGATACAAGAATGCCAACTAGCCACCAAGAGCCACGACCAATTCTCACTGGTCTCGATGTACATGAACAAAGAAGGACACAAATTCGACTGGGACAACACATCCATAATAGCATGAGCCAAACAGAGACATGCCAGGGAATTCCTGGAGGCCTGGCACTCCAACCGGAACTCCGTCAACAAACACATTGAACTGGACCCGATATACAAACCACTGAAAAACAAAACTGGAAGTAATACCAACCACCCCAGCAAACCGAGGCATATAAATAACAAACGGAACAGAACGCCAATGCTTCACCGGAGGCGCACTGACAATGTTACCTAGCAGGGTGATGAAATGTCTGCAATCAAACACACCGGCTCAGTGAGCAAGTCTGCAACCTTATCCCAATGGAAGTGGACACCCTCACCTGTCCGACCGAGTTTGGGGAACACCACTTGAGTGTAGGCAATCGCAGTGCTTCATGCAGGGGATGTCCTGAGCAGAGGGATCCTACAGCAGAATCCTATGACTTGTATGCAAAACTGGCAGGGGGCTCTCCTTTAAGAAGCTGCTCATGAGCCACACCTACCTGCAATTGTGACTGGATGAGGTGTCCTAGAAATACGCCACAATTAATACCCATAAGGGTTTGTACATATCCACAAGACTACCATTTGTGGTATCATTAACCTGTGCCATTTTTCAGTGGACAACGGAGAACATTTTACAAGGTCGACCTCAGGTCACCATTTATCTGGATGACATGCTAATTAACCAGGAAGACCAATAAAGAGCACTTGGAGAACTTGGAAATAGTGCTTAAATGTTTCTCCCAAGCAAGTGTATGCATTAGAAGGGAAAAATGTGTGTTCCAGGCACCCAGGGGACCTACTTGGGCTACAGAATCGACAAGACCAAGTTATACCGTTGGAAGACTAAGTAAAGGCAATTAAAGGTGCCCTGTCTCCCACTTACCAAACCTGGATATCATCTAGTTCTTCCTGCTTTTGGACATGGACTGTTTCACTGTTCTGCGAGTCATGAATGGTACTGAATATTGTGCACTCAACAAACATCTCCACTTCTGAAAATATGATAGAGGGATGATCACTGATAAAGTGGGCTTAGTATCTGTTTGATACTTTGTTACTAATGTCTGGGAAGTTTTCACCTTCACTTTTCTTTCCTGATAAACATGTTGATGTGGAAATCAGCAACGAATAAATAACAGAATATGAATCCATTCATGATTGTAATATTACATCTTATTTTACTGTCGGCACACACTTGAAAGAAAGTAGTCAAAAGTGAACACTTAACATTTAGTCTGTGTTAATTTCATCTTAGCGTGTGTAGTTTCACTCTGAAGAAGTTTTAGAGTTTGAAATCTGAACATCATGGATGTCTTCATTTATGCTGTGGAAACATTGTTATCTGGGTAGTTGGTGGCAGAAATTTGACAAAACAGGAATAGGCAGGTTTCTACCCATCAACATTTCTTGTGTATTGGAGACCAACTGTAATGAGGCAAATGCATCATTTGATGGATAAGGGCCAACACTGTGTGCAAGGAATGATTTAGTGCCCCTAGCATCTAGTATCACCTGGCATTTCTTTATGTTTTGTGTTCTTCAGGATTTTTCTGGCAGACCTAAAGAAAAATTCCACTACTGAAGCTGCTTGTCAAGCAGTTGCTTTCCATCCTGCATACACGCATAGTGATGCACTTTGAAAGCTCATTTAAAATCTTTGAAAATTCTGTCATTTCATTAGTTGTGCAATACACTGAAGCTACTTTCCTGCCAAATGGTGATAGTACCCAAACTGCAACAAACTATTTCAATATCCCTGTAGCTGGAAATGCAAATAAGTTAGTGGCAGCAAAAATCATCTCTGCCACACTTTTAACAGCTGAGAAGGTGAAAAGGAAATCAACACGGTTATTTGTTAGCTGTATATAAACATTTCTAGCTCAAAGGGATTAGGTTAGGAACTGCCAACTTATATAAACAGCATGCTTCAGCAGCACATATACTAAAACTAGAAGGACACAGAGATTACAATAGCACACAAAGGATGACACATGAATTTGTGAAATGTTTTGTATTGTTGGGAGCTCGCTTGTGGCACAGCAGTAGTGTCCTTACCTGCAGACCAAGGGGCTCAGGATCAAGTCCTACCTACTCCAGAAGTGTGTAATAACCTGTTGATTAGGAAAAATAGGTCAAATTAAAAAAAAGATTAATACAACACAACAGAAGAAAGCCTTTATGGTAAGCCATAATAACTCAAGCTCTTTGTAAGTATATCCAACTGGTCCCACTTCCTCTACATTTTCTCACCACCCTGTAAATATTTGAAAGCACTTTATCCAATTCAGTCACGAAAGTTACTGTCTAATGTTTCCATTACACTTTCAGGCAGTGCATTTATTTCATCACAGTAACTTGCTGTGAGAAAAAAAAACTTCTGGTTCTTTTAACTATTATCTCAAACCTGCATTGTCTGTCACAGGGATCAATTTCTCCTTATCAAAACTAGTTATAGTTTTGAACACCACTAACAAATTTCCTCTCAATCCTCTCTGCTACCATCTTTTCTAGTGTCTCCACGTAACTGAAGATTGTCATCTCTTTTATCATTTGAATAAATCTCTTCTGCACCTTCTCTAAGGGCTTGACATCGTAATAAATCACATGTCCAAACTGAGATAATGTCCCTTGCACCATTATTACTCTTGTAGTACTGCCCTTGCAACACTATTACTCTGTAGTCCCACCCCTCGCACTATTATTAACATGTAATACTGACCATTTCTCCAATATTACTCTAAACTATTAAGTTTTGCATTATTGGCCTGCAATACAGTATAACATGTTATACCAATGTTGTACTAGATAGGCATATGGATGATAATATAAGGTAGGGGTGGAGGTTAGAAAGACCTTAGGATTAGGGTAAAAGTTCGGCACAACATCGTGGGCCGAAAGGCCTGTACTGTGCTGTACTGTTCTATGTTCTATGTTCTATGATTAAATTAGTGTTAATTCGGTAATAAGAACACAATAGTTCAACAAATAGAAATTCTGGTTGAATCTGCTGACAATACCTGTTGTGTGTAAATTTTATCAAATACCTCTTTTTCATTCTTAATCACTTGCTTTAGATAGAAGATAGTCTCAAAAATTACACTTCCATCACCAGTGTGTATAATTTAATGGTGGTTGTTGTGATTGAGATTTCCTAGTGTTTATGGGTAGATGTAGAAATCTGGCACTTTCTAAAAACAATTTTGTAGATTTCTCTAGCAAACAGGACCCAGTAAGAAAATTGAACCCACAAACTGAATTCAAGGCTCTGTATTTGAAGCTTTTTTTTTCAAATTGTAGAGGATGGTTAGCAACTGAGACATATTAAATGCTTTATGTCCAAAGATCAGGGACTCTGCTAAGGCGTGCAAGTGCAGTGCAACACACATCTCATCCTCTGCTGTGCTAAGCTACCATCCCTCTCCAAATAACCAAGGATAGGGATATGGCTGGGATGGGTTCTCTGTATTCGAAAGGATACGCCTGCAACTACATTATGTCACTTGAGACCTTTATGCAAGAAGCTCTCAAGAAATGTTCTCCTCATTTCTTCTGCTTCCAAAAGAGTAAGTAGGTCTCCACTGGAAGGAAAGCATTCACAGAGAGCTTTGGTGACATTTTCCATTGAAAGTTTGAGATCTTGTTAGAGATCTAATGAGGGAACAAAATGTAACATCTCCAAGTTTGCAGATGATACCAAGTTGGGTGGGAGGGTGAACAGTGACGAGGATGCAGAGATCCTTCAGCATGATCTGGACAGGTTGGGTGAGTGAGCAAATCAATGGCAGATGCAGTATAATTTGGATAAATGTGAGGTTATTCACTTCTGAAGCAAAAACAAGAAGGCAGATTACTACCTGAATGGCTGTAAATTGGGAGAGGGGAGTATGCAGTGGGACCTGGGCTTCCTTGTGCACCAGTCGCTGAAGATGTGCATGCAGGTGCAGCAGGCGGTAAAGAAGGCAAATGGTATACTGGCCTTCATTGCGAGACGTTTTGAGTACAAGAGCAAGGATGTGTTATTGCAGTTGTACAGGGCCTTGATGAGACTACACCTAAAATACTGTGTGCAATTTTGATCTCCTTTTCTGAGAAAGGATGCTCTTGCATTCAAGGGAGTGCAGCGAAGGTTTACCAGGCTGATTCCGGGGATGGTGGGTCTGACATGTGAGGAGAAATTGACTAGGTTGGGATTGTTTTCCCTGGAGTTCAGATGAAAGAGGGGGGATCTCATAGAGACTTATAAAATTCTAACAGGAAGTAGTTGATGCCAAAACATTGAATGTATTCAAGAGGCGACTAGATATAGCACTTGGGGAGAATGGGATCAAAGGTTATGGGGAGAAAGCAAGATTAGGCTATCGAGTTGGATGATCAGCTATGATCGTGAAGAATGGTGGTGCAGGCTCGAAGGTCCAAATGGCCGCCTCCGACATTTATCCTCTACGTTTCTATGTTTCTATCTCTGCAGGAATCGCTTCAGCTCTCAAATGTCATCTTCTGGTGAGACTTACAGCAGGGGAAAAGGACAATCTGCTCAGTACTTTTCCCCCTTGACAGGACCCATTGCTAGGGTCAGAAAATTAACCCATGGGGTCCTCAGTAGAAAAAGACAGAACACACTGGGAAGAATCCGAATAAAACACATTTTTCAGTTCTACCCAAATTCAATCCCGGACTTGATTGGAATTTCTGATTTCTGATTAAGAGCTTACATGAGATTTGAGACTATCTTCATAGATTAAACAAATTGCAAGATCTTTTGGAGATATGACTTTAAAAATATATACTATTTGACCTAGATTAATCTTTTAACTGTTCTTCTATGATGCAGCAATGACTTTTGGACTAATTACAATAGGCCTGACTGGAGTCAGTTCTCTCATGGGAAGAAATATAATTCAGGTAAATAAATTTCAAAAGGCAAAGTACTTTGGGCACTGACATTGTGAAATGTGCAAGGAAAATGCTGGAAATACTCAAAGAGGAAATGTTGAGTATTATGAGCACCTTTTTAGAAATGAACTTCAAATTACTTTTATTATGAGCGTAAATCAGACATGAGGTAGACGGAACACTGTTGTAGGTCTCTCAGCTCCACAGTTGGTTTTCAGTCTGCCCCTCTCCTCCCCAACTGCCCCCACCAGGTCCCCTGACCCACTCTCTTAAAGGGGCAGCATATACCCAACTACAAACATGACACCCCTCCCATTTTGCTTGCACTTTCAGGTGGCAGAACTCTATTTAAAGCCCAGCTGTCATTTCATTGCTAACACAAGGTCAGATTCATAAATGTATTGCCTGTTTTCAGCATTAACTGTCTGATAAACTGTCATTATAACTGCAGCTATAAGAATGAAGCTACACGGGTGAGGAAGAATTTTGGGATTTTTAATTGTCATGTGTCATTTGTGCCCCTAACCCTGTTTTTCCCATTCATCATGTTATTTCTATAGCGTAATTTTCTGTAACGCAAAATTGCACAGGAAAGCAACTATCATGTTATAGCAAAGCTCCCTGTATTCAATACCCCTTCTCATTCTCTAATGGGCCAACATTTACTTTAGCCACTCTTTTTTGTGTTATATATTTATAGACATGTTTGCAATCTGTTTTTATATTCTGAGCTAGTTTACTCTCATAATCTATCTTACCCTTCTTTATAGCTTTCTCGTGGCTTTCTGTGACCTTTAAAAATTTCCCAATTCCCTAGTTTTCCACTAATCTTTGCCACTTTGTATGCATTAGCTTTCAATTTGATATTGTCTTTTATTTCCTTAGATATCCATAGATGATTTTCCCTTTTCCTACAGCCCTTCCTTCTCACTGGTATATACCTTTGCTTGGGACTGTGAAAAATTGCTTTGAAAGTCCTCCACTGTTCCTCAATTGTCCCACCAGAAAGTCTTTATTCCCAGTCTACCTTAGCCAACTCTTCCATCATCCCATTGTAGTCTCCTTTGTTGATGCACAAGGCACTGGCATTGGATTTTACCTTCTCACCCTCCATCTGTATTTTAAATTCAACCATACTGTGACAGCTCCTTCAGAAAGGATCCCTAACTATGAGATCATTAATTATTCCTGTCTCATTACACAGGACCAGACATAGGATAGCTTGCTCCCTCGTAGGTTTCATTACATACTATTTGAGGAAACTATCGTGGATACATTCTATGAATTCCTCTTCAAGGCTGCTTTGACTGACTTGGTTTAACCAATCAATATGTTGATTAAAAACTCCTGTAATAATTGCTGTACAATCCTATATGCATCAGTTATTTCTTTGTTTATTGCCCACCCCACCGTGATGTTGTTATTTGGTGGCCTATAGACCATGCCTATCAGTGACATTTCCCCTTACTATTTCTAATTTCCACCCACATTGATTCAACCCTATTCTCCATAGAACCTATATCATCTCTCACTACCACCCAGATGTCATCCTTAAATATCAGAACTACACCACCTCCCTTTCCTTCCTGTCTGTCCTTCCAAATAGTCTAATACCCCTGGATATTTAACTCCCAGTTGTGACCTCCCTGCAACCATATCTCTGCAATGGCCTCTAAATTATACCCATTTGCAATGATTTGTGCCATCAACTCATTTATATTGTTTTGAATGCTGCGAGCATTCATGTAAAGTTTCTTTTTACCTAGTTTTTAATACCTTCTTTCGAATCCTGACACCTACATCAGAAGAACCTTTGTCTTCAAACATTCTTACATTTTCTGTCACTACCTCAGTGCTACACTGCTCAGCTGTTTCTTGTTTTTTATTTAGTGTCTTGATTTGCTTTTTCCTCAAGCCCTCACCCACTCTAGCTAACTCAGATCCTCTCCTTAGGTTTGCTCCCCTGCCAAACTAGTTTAAAGTCAACCCACCATGGCAAATATTTCATCCAGTCGGTCTATCGTTGCTTCTGCTGATACCAACTTCATGACTACCACTTTGGGCCACTTGGAGTGAGCATCCACAACCACCTAGTGACACCTGTCCCTCAATTGGTCCCATGCTTTCAACATGAACCCTCTGCTGTGGTTATTGAGGCCATTCCCATGGTGAAGGGGTGACAGCAGTGCGCCTTCCTTACTAATGTGTAGGATTTGCATGATCCCACCTTACCTTCAATCTCTCAGTCCAACTTCAGACTACAAATTTAATTTGTTTACAACTCTACAAATGTTAACAAGATTTAATTTAACACAAGTAGTTCTGAAAGTAAGCGTGCTTTTTATTTGTTATTCTGCCTAGGCAACGCTAACTTTTGAAGGGATAATCCTAGGACCCATACTTGGTGTATTTACTTTAGCAGCAATATTTCCAAAGAGCAATAGTAAGGTAAGGTCATAAACTGATTATAAAGCAACAGTAAAGTCTAATTTTAATACTTAGTTACTGTATTTGTGCAAATAAATTCCACTGGTGCAAGTATGGTGGAACACAATCCTGGCCTATCTAGTGACTTTGTTCCAAAAACTTAGACATGGGGTTAATGATAATGTTCAGTTTGCATGAATGAACCAGAATGTTTTTTCAAAGGAAGAACATTCACCCAAGATACCCCCAGAAAGCCCTGTTGCATTTACAAAAAGGGAACTGGGTAAATTGTTTAAGAGGACAAATGTGAGGCATTTAGATTTCTGAAGAAGAGTCCCAACGTGAAACCTCAACTTTCCTGCTCCTCTGATGCTGCCTGGCCTGCTGTGTTCCTCCAGCTCCACACTGTATAATCTCTGACTCCAGCATCTCCAGTTCTTACTATCTCTGAGCGAGTCACATACTCTGTGCTAGGCCATTTTTGCTTAGAAGGGTCTTCGAGGAATAACATTTCCTCTTTTAACCTCAGCAAATAATGGTGCATTAGATTTCACCACTTCACCAAGGAGATGCTCACCAAAAGGTCCCACTAGTTGCAGCGTGAACTGCAGCCTCAGAATGATAATGTATTAATACTGAGCTTATATATGCCAGGTTCACTGAGCTGGACCAGATGATATTTGCATCTTGTTCCAGTTTGCTATCCAGATACTTAAGTGGGATCACAGACTTTGCCTGTAAAGACACCAGAATACATTTCATTCTCTTTTGCCAGAGAGAAGTAGGTGTCTACCCAGTGCAGGGTACCTTTGTTTTATTCACTTGTAGGATGTGGTCCTCACTGCCTAGTCCAGTATTTACTGCCCTTGATAAGGTGGTGATGACCTGCCTTTTTGAACCACTGCAGTACATGCATTCCAGGTGGGTCCACAATGCCCTTAGAGAGGGGATTCCAGGATTTTGGCCCAACTATTATTTGCACAAGCATCGTTTTCAGGCACCACATGCAAGTTCTAAGATATCTCCTAAAGTACTTGTAGTCTCAGGATCAGAGCTGGCGTCTGAAAGTGTGAGAGTGTGTGACGCTGTTTCTTCCTCAATATGATCATCCTGCTCTCCTTTCACTAACTGACTGGAGTGTAGTTCTTTTATACCAGAAAGAAAAAAGGAACAAGGCAGCCAGATAAATTGTCCAAGAGGAGAACTCCGAGGCAATGGAAAATGTCCAAGAAAATCAGTCTGACTGGGTTACTTCCAACAATCTGACAGGTTGATAGAAATTGTTGAATACTGAATGTGATGTGTACGTACGGTGAGACAATACTGGACTGATGATAGACATGACATCTGAAAGTGCATTTCCTAAGCTTGACCACTCATGTAAAGTCATTAGTATTCTTGTGGTAGTGCATCCAACTCCTTGGGGATCCACCTGACATTGACACCACAGCCATCTACTCCTGAGAGTTCCGCTGTGTGGGTGTTGGAGAGGAGTGGGGAATGGTAAAGCAAGAAGTGCATGTTTATATCAGAAGAGAATTATAACTGATAAGAGATTGTGGAATGATGGTATAGTGGTTTGTCAGAAAGATGACAATAAACATGCGCATTGGCTTCTCCAGGAGTTTCAGCACTGTTGCTGGCCATGATCTCAATCCTTGTCATTTCAATAGTGGCGGGCACCGTTTTCTCCATGAACCTTCCAGTTATGCACCACTTTGTCCTGCTAGAGAGAGAAAAGTGCATCAGTGAGTGTCACGCAAAGCAACTGGGTGATACAGCTGTCAAATTGCATAACTTGCAGTAAATGCAAACTAAGATGTGGGTGTGATGCAAGCAGTGAGGCAAAACTCATGAGTGAGGCAAGGTATATGGATTTAGGTATAAATCATGGTTGATAGAAATTGTTGGTAGGTGAATGGGAGTGTGATGCTTTGAGTACTGAGACAGGCTACTGGAGCAATGGTGGACATGGCATATGAAACTGTATTTCTTGAGCTTGACCACTCATTGATGTTCTTGTGAAACTACACCCCAGTTCCTGGGGCTGCACTCAGTATTGACAACCACAGCTATCTCCTCCCACTGCCGCCTCAGAGTTCTGCTAGCATTTTAGCCCTCTACCAGCAGACAACATCTCTCCTCTCAATCCAGTCTCCAGTACAATGTTGGAATGTCGTGCAGCTCATTGATTCAGTTTTGTACCATACAATAGTTTTTTTAGTTCTCGCTCTCTTCCACAACCATTTCCAGTCCGTGTTCCAGCCAGAATGCCATCCTTTTAAGAGACAAATTGACTTAAAGTGTGACAAACCTTTCTTGATTTTGCATCGATTGGTTCGGGGTACATTCACTCAACAGCGTGGTTAGCATTGGCCCTGCAAAAATCATTCAATTGAACCAACCCGGCAGCATGAGATTTGCTTGCATTGGAAGCAAAGCACATAGGTTAATTGTGCATCAATTAACAGTGTCTGCTTTCCAACCTGATTGAATTTTGCAGGCAACAAAATTGCAAGTACCATAAGCTACCCAATGGATCTTGAGTACATACACTATTTAGACTACAGGAGAATTTATCCTGAATTGTTGCAACTGCACTGCAACTCAATGTTTGGGAAGTGGGGTAAAAAGATTTGTAT